GCACGGCAGGAGTTCACGGCTGATCTCTGGACCTTACGGGCACGTGGTTGGCGACAGTTCCTTGCTGCTGCTGGGGAAGATCCTCCCTGTTATACGTGGGTATTAATGACTGTGTAATTAATACTAATACTGCAATTAATGCCGGACGGCACCGAGGCTCTGTCTACTCCTGATATTTCGGGGCACCGCCTGGCTCAGCCGGCGGCGTGTTTGCTGTCTGCGCCGTATCTCGAAGCTGGAATAAACCTGGTCGTTGCGCTTACGTTTTCGAGTGCCCTCTCGGATGGGGCAGGGCTTGCTTGAACCCTTCCAGAAGTTGACTGTTGGTCTTGAGTCCCCTTGAAGAGAGAAAGCAGGAGGCAAAAGGCCTTCAGTCTTTGAGGCTGGAAGGTTGCTGCTAAGCACTGTCGCCTACGAGAAGCCTAGAGCATCTCGTTAATCCCACAACAGTGGTGGGAATGGATGGTGAGCACGGTGGACTTCATGGTCCTCTACTCTGAAGTTCACCAGAGCTTCCAGGGTTGTGCTGACTGGTGCTGGGAGGTTGTGGTTGCTCTGCTTGGCAAATGCAGGATGAAGCCAACCTTCAGGTGGACACCAGCACCCGCTGGCACCAGGGATGCCGAGGACCTTAGTGCCCAAAGGAACAAAACAGGTGTGAAAGGTGGAGGAGAAGTGAATGGTTGGTCTTTTTGATACCCAAGCATGGGCATGGACCCCATTGATGCCCCCCAGTCCAGAGTCCTAACTGTTCTCTTCCATCGTCATGTCTATGCCCATCTTGCCCTTCCAGACAGCCACTGAAAAAGGATTGTTTCAAAGGTGTTACTTCTTTGCAGCACCTCAGATGTTTTGGCTTCTTCACCTTTATTGTCTCTTTCGTGGTTTTGTGCTATTTTAATTGATAGCTAATTGCTTCTTCTGGATCCCCAGAAACACGACAAGGAGAGCTTTGTAAATGTCGGGTTACCTGGGTTAGTCAGACTGGTTTCACTGGAAGCTGATTAGCTGGAGAGCGCTGGGGAGCAGCGCGACGTGGTTGGGAGCGCAGGAAGGGGAGGCTTTTACCCTGTGGACCATCTGGCATGGAAAAAGAAGCAGAAGGGTAACAGAGAGTTATTGTCACTGCTGTCACCTGGGAGGAGTCCAAGGGGGAGACTGAAAAGGGTTAGGGGCAAATAAATTGGGTGTTATATGGGGGCGGCGAGAGGGGTGGTATGGAAGAGCACAGGAAAGGGGACGGCAAGGTCAGGAGGAGACTGTGGGCTCTCAGAGTGCAATAAAGCTTTAAAGCATCCCAGGGCGAAGATGTTGGGGGCATGAGGGGTGCAATGGCCAGGAGCGGGGAGCTCTCCCCTCCCTGGGGAGGCGAGGTGCCTTCTGAAGAAACGGGAGCCTTGCCTTGGGGTCTGAGGTCCCAACAGCATCAGGGCAAGTTTTTTGTCCCTTCCTTTGGAGGGACTAAGGGAGTTTGCTGAGAGGGGTGTATTTCAGAAGCCTGGAGATGTAACAGTTGTGCTCTCATATCCTTTTGGCACAGATGATGAATTGCTTTATTTAGCTGTTGGCAAGACTAGGAGATTCATCAAGTCATTGGTCGTATGTTTAGAGGGGGAAGTACTGAGAGGAGACAGTCATTGTTGATTAGGGCCATTGGTTTAATCAAGAAAATAGAAGGATATTTCCAGTTCTGGGCACTGTGCAAGAAAAGATGATGAATTGGTTGAGCGTTTGTTGCGAAGAAGCAAGGAGGGCCCTTAAGGACAAATTGGTTGGCATGAGAAGAAGGGCCCGCTGTGGCTGGGGTTGTCCCGCATTCATGGTGATGGTGCTGGCATCCAAAAGTAAAGGTTGGGTTTGAATGGATTTCATAGATTTCATAGATTTCTAAGTTGGAAAAGACCTCAGAGATCATCGAGTCCAACCGTCCCTAATCCCCATTAAACCGTATCCCTAAGTAGATCATCCACCCTATTCTTAAACACATCCAGGGATGGGGACTCAACCACCTCCCTGGGCAGCCTATTCCAGTGGCAGACAACCCTTTGGATCTGACACTGTAGTTATGTCTGGTTTTTGGTGGGATCAGGTGCCAAAGGGGAAGAACCACCCGGCCTTCACCAGCAGCGGGATAAGGAAAAAGATGGGGAAGAGCCAGACGGTAAAACGAGTTGGAAAGTTTAGTGGGATCAAGGTCTAGGAGACATGAAACAAGATAATT